ATCCCAGGACAATTTTAAGCAAATAGCCCACAGTACTGCCTGTGAAATAGTGAAGGAGGGCATTTCTGTATTCCATGACTTTTTTGGGGGTTAAGAATGGGTTTATATGATTTCTCATTTTTGTAGTTTTTATTTATTCTATCAGTCTTTAACAAATGTTTATTGCTGCAATTTTTCAGTGTATCATTGTTTTACTGCCCTTGTAGTACTGGAATTTAGTTGGAAGAATAAAACATTTACTTCTAATCTGTTTTTTTTAATATGCAGGTGGAACTTTTGCTGTGTATGAATAAACTTAAATCTGAGTGTTTAAATGAAAACTTTATTTACTAGCAATAGTGGGTGGGTCAGTTTTAGATCAGGAGAAGGAGGTGGATGAAAATCTCAGGTCATTCTTCAGAGGCAAAGAAATCTTCCTTAGATTGGCTGTATTGTTTCTTCTTGTGGAAGCATGTTTGGTACAGAACTGACAAGAAACTGTTGATGTAACTTGCTGCAGCTGACTCAAACAGCTGCATTTGCCTTCCTTCAGATTTAAATGACACATCAAAGGAAATTTGTTCATAAGATAGAGTGGGCACATGCACTGCAGGCTGGAACTGTGTAGGTATTGCAAGAGCTAAAGGTGTGTAATCTCTACTCAGGGCTGAAGAGTTTGTTGTTGGACGCACTCAGCTGTTTGCAGACTGCTCTGTCGGTGCTGGCTGCTGCTGCCTGGGCAGTGCTGAGTCTCAGCATGAATTGCTGCTAAGTTCTACGAGGCAAGTCTGGATCTGTGTGCTGTGGGGTAGAAGTATTGCTGCCAAAGGATTTGAGTTACCTGCTTTGGGAACTTTAAAGCAGTTTCAGAGTAATCCTTTGATTACTTTGACCGCTGTCTTCTCTAACTTCCTGTCAGCCTCTTGTTAAGTGGAAGTCTGCTCTGGGATGGATCTCTGTCCTATTTCAAATTAACAGGAGTTTAAGTTGAATTGTAATTGTGCAGCTTCAGCTGGTAGAAAGACTCAGTAATTGATTCTTGCTGATGCTTATGGTATCAGAGAAGCCATGTGATGAGCTCTAGTTCTTAGTGAACTTTTTCACTGAGCAAGATTACAGGTTCAAAGTCGGGCATATTGCCACAGTATCAGAGTATTTTCTGCTGTTTCCTGAAACCTCTTACCTAAATATTTGGATAATTTCTACTTTTTTTGCCCACAATGTCAGAAATGAGAAATCTCTGCTACACTCTCCTCTCTGGCCTTCTGTCTCTGAAGATAAAAACAAAACTATCAAGGGTTGTAATTTCTGTTGTCTGCCTTGAAGCCTTCAGTCCCCCTCCTCTTTCTTCTCACTTTTTGATCTCCTTATCATAGAATCAGCCAGGTTGGAAGGGACCTCTGAGATCAAGTCCAACCCTTTTATTGTTAAGTTGCCCAAGCCAGGAAAACCACTGCTTCTAGGTAGACCACCATGCAAATTCCAGCATCCTGATCATCTCCTGTATCTCCTGTGTTAGCACCCAGGCACTCCTGTGCTATTCCAAGTTGATGCATAATAAGCAGTCTTCTGGCATATTAAATACCATGCTACCATGCATCACAGCTGTGGTATGCCTAATTTGTGCCTGTTTTGAAAACGAGGTTGCATTCTTCAAAAGATTTCGCTTTTTAACCTGCTGCTTGTTCTGTCTTGGACTATAAACTGGCTCCTTTTCCTAATCTTGGCATCAGTATCTGATTTGATGAATTACACATGAAAGGCTTGTTCTAACAAGTGACATATTCTTCAGTAGGAAAATGATTGGCAGCTTGATGACTGTTGAAAAAAATTAGGAAAATTGGGGTGCTGTGAGGAGCAGGCTGGTGCTTGAAAATAAACCTGCCTTGGAGAGCCTTTTCAAAGGCTTTTGATTCAAGTAGAAATGGGTACAATTCAATAACTACTCAGTTATAGGCACTACTCTTTGTGGTGGCCACATTTAGAATATTTTTGCAATTTCTATGTAACTAGTCTAGCCAAAAGCCAGGCAAACTGAGGACAGTCAATTGCAACTTAACAGAGTGAAATTAAAGATCTTGGTTAGCCTGTTTTTGAGGTAGTGATGTGTAAATTTTGAGCAGATCTCAGTTATTGTGCACTTAAAAAAGCAGCATGTACATCTTGTGTGTTGATTTTTGTGTCTAGATGTGAGAGCATGTAACCATAAGATGGTTCAGCATTTTTCAAGGTTGCAAAGGAAGGAGTTTCAAGCAATCTTGTGTGCTGATGTTTGAGATTTGCCTATGTACTCTTGAGCAGCACGACCAGTAGCAGGTTCTTTTAAGAAACTGTTTCATGAAAGTGCACTCTCCATTCCTGAGTTGGGAATCGGAAAGGATTTAAGCTCTCCTATTCCACAGTGGGGAGGAAAAAACTGAGGCTGGTGAAGTATTAAGAGTTTATGCTCATGACCTCTGCATTGTAAGTCATTTTCAGTGGTGAAAACTGTGAGAATGAATGGCTTTTACAGGCACCTGGCATATTCTTGTAATTTATTGCTGCTGTTGGCTCTGAGATAAAAGAAAAACTATGAAGTTTATGTTTGAAACCAGTAGTGCAGTAGTGTAGAGGTGTCAAAGAACAGCATCTATAACAGTAGAGAAAGAGTTTGAAAACTTAAAACAAGTGTTAACTTGCATTCAGGTCTGATTTTTGGCAGTAGTTTTGTTGCAAGATGTGGCTACCTAAGAATATGATACAGTTAGCAGTTCAGAACCTTTATGCTGTTACAGTTTCAGAGCTACTGCAGACATTGGCACTTTTTTTTTTGTCCTCTGTTTTCAGTGAACATTGCAGACAGTGGAGGTTTCGTGGAGTGTCTGCAGAACATGTTTTTACTATGCAGACAGTTGTAGAAACTAACCTTTAATTCTGCACTTGAAATCTCCTGTGTCTGTATTTCAGTGAAGATACATGAGGTTGTCTAAGCTGTTACTGATGTTGGTTTCAGATTCGGTGATGCTAAGGTCTTTCCTGGCAGGTAGGACTCTGACTACAAAGTCCTGCATCTGAAGAAAGAGAGGCAAACTAAATTAAATTTATGATCTCTTTTCTTAGGTTTGTGTTTTTAACTGTTCAATCTTCCTACCCTCTTTGCTGAAGAAAATGAAATTACACAGTACTTCCTACATAATTTTATTGAATATACATGTCTTTATACATCTTTATAAATCTTGCAGTCTTAAGTGGCAAGTACAGAATTAAAGATTTGATCCTGAGAAACCATAATGTAGCACAGCAAATGTGACTTTAACCTTAAAAATTTATGTTATTAGTTAAAGGGAAGAAATAGCCAATAACTATTAATTTTACTGTTTTAATGTGATGTTGCCTGCACATTTGGGGATTAAAGGCCACACACTGTTGAGGCTGGCTTCTCTTTATTTCTGAATGTTTTACCCGACAGGGGTGTGAAAGTTAGCTAGTGTGAGGTTAGCAGAGGGGAGGTGGCAGGGGACAGCTGTGCAGCAGAGGTCCTGGCTCCCTGTCCTCTTGCACATCAGAGAGACATTTGGTGCTGCTCTCTTTCATTTGTCAAGTTCCTTTGCAAGATAAATGGGTGAGGTTCAGGACGGGCTGTTCAGTGTTCCCCACTGCTGAAACAGCTCGCTTCCCTCTCTGCTGCTGGAGAGCCTCACACACAAAGACTGCTACGAGACAGGTCCCTGAGCTCGGTTCTTTGCAGGGAAGAACAGTGGAATTCTTTACCCCTGTGTCTTCGTGGAACTTTTAGAAGTGCTCCACTGTGATGCTAAAAACTCAACACTCTTTGAGTTTTCATAGTTGTTTCCCAGGGTGTATGTTCAGGCAGTATAAAGGCTGATAAACTCAGCCTCCTTCTCCTAACTAACTGGCACCATTTAGAACCAGGCCCTCCCTTAAGCACAGCAGGATGTGTTGCTGTGTCTGCAATTAGAGCAATTGGAAAATACTCCTACCCTCTCTGAAGGTGTTTAAAACGAGCCTGACCTATCTTATATAGATTCCTGGGGAAACAGCCTGGTAAGTTACTGGTTCTTGTAATAGGACTTCCCCCCTTCTAGTGAGATCTGGTTTATCTGGTTCAGTCCTCAGAGCTCCAGGCTATCCTTTCCAGTTGTTTTGAGTAGGCTGAAGTGCCAGTGCAACTAAGTGGGAGCATGTGGAGTTTAGTGGTGGCTGAACATGTGCTCAAAGAGCAGCACTTCACTGCCTCAGAAGGAAAGTGAACCCTGTAATCCTCTCTGTCAGCTGAGGATGTCTGGAAGCTTTTTTGAGGTACATACAGTGTTTTACAATAAACTAATTACCACTCAGCTTTGAAGTCTGAGAGGGACAAAGTCTGAACACCTCTCTTAAGTGAGGCCCTCCAAGGTGTTAAGGCTGACCCGAAGTCCCCGCCCATACAAACTGCTGGAATGCGTCTGTCAAGCCCTCAGGGCATGGCAGACACTCTGCTCTGGAGGGCAACACAGCTTTTCCCCTTTGGTTTCCAAGGCTTTTCCCATGGTTGAAAAACACAGGACGCTGGCATCAGCATAAAAACATTTGCTCCCCAAACCGAGTCAAGCAAAAAGGTTGGGCTGAGAAGGTTCTTTGAAGATCTGTCATGTGAGCAGTGCTTTTACATGCTCAGCCTATAGTTACTTTCACACAGGTGTTTGCCTGCCTACAGCACAAATCCTTGGCAAAGAGGGAGGTTTACACTGTGTGCTTTAGGTGTGGATTTTACTGCCTTCCTCTAATGTGCATGAGTGCCATGTTGTCACATAGTCTGTACTGACACAAGTTTCCCTGACAGCAAAAGTCAGCTAGTACTGATCAACTTCACTAGAAAAAGGGGATGATTTAAACAGTTCACTTTTGCTCTTCTCAAAGAGCAAAAATTTGTATATTCATAACTATTCTTGGGGACATAACTACGTCACCTTCTCTTCCTCAAGAAGCAGTTTTTAGGGAGTTAGGACCAGTTTTGAAGAACATACAACAGAGGCTGAGCATGGAAGTTCATTGTTGTTTTTAGCGTACTTGTTTTATTTATTTTTAAATCAAGTTCAGGGATTTGGAAGGCATTTTATAATAATGACTCAAGTCCTATCAGCTTATAAGCATGTTAATAATACTGCTTCATCACTTCTGTAGCTTACACAGCCAGTGTTGTCCTTTTGGCTTGCTAGCCTGAGTTATATCAGTGTACTGTTAAATACCACACATCAAAGATTGAAACTGGCACAACAATACAGTATTTGGAACATGGGCATTAATAGTGCAGTACATTGCACAGGAAGGATGAGCATTAAAAAACAACATCGCTATTCAAGCCTGCCCAGGCACTGGGAATGTATCTCACAACATTCAGCCACTGTTGACTTTGACTCAGTAGCAAAGTTAGCGAGGACTGGTTCAGTGAGAACACAGCCATTGCAGTGTTGGAAAGAACAGGTTTATTAGCACCTTGGTGGCACGTTAACAGCCCCCCCATGTCAACCTTGCCACATGGTCAGTTTTCTGCTTGCTGGGCTTTATGAAGCCCAAGAGCTCCAGCTCAGAAACAGCTCGAATAAAGCGAGCGCTGGACATTTCAGTAAAGGAAAACAAGCACAGTTTTTATGACACATTGATGGAGTTCTCTCTAGGAGGGGAAGATTTCTAAGTCACGGCAAGCACAGACGGCTTGCACAACATGTTGCACAATAACGTTGTTGGAAATAAGGGCAGAGCATGATTTGCCTACAGAAGCACAAATCTTCAATCTAATCAGTACTTCTGCTACATGCATACAATGTAGCAACAAAGGAAGAGTTCCTTTCCCCACTGCTAAGAGAAGCTTAAAGCCTACAAAGATACTAATTTTGTGGTGTCTCAGAAGAATTTATACTTTGTGCCTCTTGACAAAAAAAGGAAAGATAGATAATTATAGAGATTTTTTTTTGAGATTTCATAAAACAGCACCACCTTCTCCTTACTTTCTATTCACTATATCTTTCTTGCTGCATTCCTGACATACAGCTTTTATTCCTGAGTTAGAGAATTCAGTTTACTGTGAGTGTTAATTACCAGTGGAGCTTGTAAAAAAGGAAAGGCCTTATACTAAAGAAAAGCAAAGTATAGTATTAGAGCACATAAATATATGTGCTCTAAGCTTCCTTTTGTACAACTATTCATCTCTACTCTGTGGCAGCATTACTGCTGTAGCCATGGGTTTTGGTTCTAATGCTCATCCATTAAATATTTTTCATTCCTCAGTTCAGGATCAGAGTTGATTAGTTTCCACAAAACCTTCATTCTGCTACTTACTTTGTCCTAAGGTACTGGAACTCACGGCTTCTACTGAGACACCACATTTGTAAGTGACTCCTCTGCTAGTGCTTTCATCTTCCTCATAATGGACTACTTGTTTCTATTTCTCCATCTGCTCTCTAGGTCACAGCCCTCCTACCATCTGTTCCCCAGTAATGCCTTACCCCTATACAGCAGCTATACAAACTCTGAGATGATTTAACCAAACAGTTTCAACTTGTTTTATGGACTTTTGGTTCTGTTTCAGACCCAAACAATTCCTATGGACAAAAGCTACTCTCCTGCCTCACCACTCCCATCCCAACTGTTTCAGCAGATCTGTTTCTTAGACATTTTCAGTCCATTACAGCTGTTTAAAGTAGTATTTTTTCCGAAATTAGTTATCAGTGCACATGAACCTGTATTTTAAAAACATTGGTTCATAAATCCTTTAAGCATGTAAATGTCAAGGTTGAGAGAAATGAGAAAGGATACTGGATAATATCATCCATCTGGTCTGAGGAAGCTGTATCTGCATTTGGTTCCTCACCTGCCATCACCACAGTTGAGAAAGCCTAGAAAGAGAAAAGCAGCACAGATTTAATACAGTTCACAGACAGAGCTGCATATAAAATAGTGAGCTCTGAGCCAATGGCTATCACTCAGGAGGACTGAGATCTTGGAGTGATAGCTCTACGAGCGTGTCAATTCAGCAACAATCAAAAGAGCAAGCAATACAGAATGCAAGACATCACTCAGTGAACTCATGTGCCTCCAATTTTAAATCTCAAAACAGTTCTGGGTACTGACCCATTCTCAAAGAAACCACAGAACTGAAAAATATTTTCAAAGTGAGACTGCTTAAACATTCTGAGGAAATGAGAAAGGTAAAGCTGGCTGTGCAGAAATCTATAAACTGAGGGACAGAGGAGTCTGAGTAGGAAAATACAGTATACAAACAAGGCAGCAGAAAACAACACAGAACAAGCAAAAGGAGTATCCTCTAAACTGCAGGTAGTTAAGCTAAACAGTTTCTTGCCAGGGGATGCTGTGAAGCACAAAATGTGACCTGTGCCAAACATAAAATACAAGCAGAAGCAAAATATTTTCATCACAGAGTAACAGTGCTGGAAATAAATGATTCACAATAGAGGAAGACTGATTGGAATTACTGTGTGTTCTTGTGGTCTTGTGGACCAAGGTATGCCAAGGATCTAAGCTGTCAACAGGGGCACTAAAGAAAAGCAGACATGCAGAAAAAGATAAATCAGAATACTGAAAGCAGGTAAAGGTAGTATTTGCATCATCACATACCTCTAACCAGTCAACGAGATTGATTAATCTGCCACACTCCAAATGAAGTTTATACACTATGCAAATGTCAGGGGCTTTATTAGAAATGCTTCCTCCATCACACTTCAAAGCTTGATTCTGATGAAAAAAAATTGAAGGCAGTAATTTTGATGGGTTTTTAATCATGAACAATTTTAAGGGCTAGTTATAACTATTCCAGGAAATTCAGATGGCAGGTATTCTAACCAAATGTTTCCTGTTTGTGTGTAATGGCAAGCTGATAGCACAAAGAAGAAAAAAAAAAAAACAAAAAACAAGCAGGAAAATAAGAAAACATACCATAAAAAAGGCAAACAAAATGCCACCCAGCTACTTCACTCCTGGTGTTCCTTCTATGAATTTGTACACTTATACCATCTCTACTATAAAGAGTGGTTATCTGACTAGGCTTTTACCCAATTCTTTTGCTAGTGCTATTTACATATGAAATACTCTGTTTTATGGACTCAGGAAAAGAAACAAGTCATGATTTGCCTATGTAGAAAATAGAAAAGTATCCCTTCCCCCTACACCCTCAAAAGGAAGAGGAAGACTTAGTATAGATCTGTCAGATGTACTAAAAACCATAATTGCTTCTCTCTTATCAGAGTTTTATGTTTGAAATGTAACCATTATTCATCTCTGGCTTGAAACTCAGCACCTATAAAAGCAAAAGTCTGATTTCTCACTAAGTATTCTATATTTCAGGAAATTCGTAGAATCACTAAGGTTGGAAAAGCCCTCTAAAATCATCAAGTCCAACTGTTAACCAAGCACTGCCACGGCCACTTCTACACCATGTCCTTTAGTGCCACACTACCTTTCTTTTATCTCTCTCCAGGGATGGTGACTCCACAACTTCCCTGGGCGACATGTTCCAGGGCTTGACAACCCTTCCCAGGAAGACAATTTTCAAAATATCCAATCTAAACCTCCCCTGGTGCAACTTGAGGCCATTTCCTCTCCTCCTATCACTAGCTGCCTGGGAGAAGAGACTGACCCCCACCTGGCTACAACCTCCATTCAGGTAGTTGTAGAGAGCGATAAGGTCTCCCCTGAATGTCCTTTTCTCCAGACTAAACAACCCCAGCTCCCTCAGCAGCTCCTCACAGGACTCACTCCCTAGAGCCTTCACCACCTTTACTGCTCTTATCTGGACCTGCTCCAGCACCTCAGTGTCCTTCCTGAATTGAATGGCCCAGAAATGGACACAGGACTCAAGGTGTGGCCTCACCAGTGTACAGGGGGCCAATCCCTTCCCTAGTCCTGCTGGCCACACTGTTCCTGATACAGGCCAGGGTGCCATTGGCCTTCCTGGCCACCAAGGCACACTGCTGGTTCATGTTCAGCTGCTGCTGACCTGCACCCCCAGATCCTTTTCTGGCAGCTTTCCACTCGGATACAGGTCATCGGCACCGAACCATTTACTTGAGAAGTAGAAAAGTCACTTGAGCCAGAGGCAAAATTCCCAGGTACAGCTGCAGAAATTTACAGCATTTCATTTCAGTTTCATGCACTCTAAGAAATCAGCCCTCTTAACATGAAAATAACCACTGATCACAGAAATTTTTTCTAAAATGCTTTTAGATGCTAGTAAAATATACAAGCTATTTTGGAAAGTTATAAACCTCTAGCAATGACACCTTTATAAGTAAATGCTTTCCAAGATAGGAAAGAAGGCTGGGCAAAGAATATAACTTTGCTCAAGAATCTCTAGCTTACTTTTCATAAATCTCAATTCCTGCAATTTGTGAGACTTAGATCCAATTTGGACACTAGCACCTATGAGACATTTCACACTTTCCAGAACACCTAGCAATTTTCAAGTTTATTTACTCTACAAGGAACACAAAAGTTCCAGACATTAGGTTAATATCTGTCAGTTCAGTCTGGATAGTTTCCAGAAAAATTCAGAGAAACATGGCTAAATCCTCAAAATGTGACAGTGCAGACATTAGTTTACCAGACTGTAATTCAGGAGCGTATCAGAACAGTTTCAAATACTCCTGCGTTACTAACCAGCACACATGAGGTTATACCTTCTGACTGATCTAGATCTAGTGGTTCATCACTGCCGAGAAGGGTAACCCTACATCCTTCTCTTTTCCCCTCTCCTACTGCACCTGACTCTATGGCTTCCTACTACTCAGCCATGTGCCAACCTGGCATTGCTGGACATTTTGCATTGATTTTCTAGTTTTAAGGTCAGGACAGTTATCACAACCAAGAGAGGATGCAACTTCTGAGCAACTGTACTCTCCTGAGCAGGTTTATCTGTAGAAATTAGTCCCTAGCTGGACCACATACAAGTGCCAAGAATGATCCAGAAAAGATATTAGTGACTGGCACTGCAGGGTCTCTCCCAGCACCTGCCAGCTCCCAGCCTTGCCTGTGATAACTAGGCCAAGTCTTCGCAGCACAGCAGGAGGGAGCTGCAGCTGCTGTCAGGGAAACCTCAGCTTCCTGAGGCAGCAGCACACGCGATGTCCTCCAGAGCAAATAACTAGGCTGACATGCAGGAAGCTGCCCTAGAATGAGCAGCCAGTTGTGAAACCATCTGTACAGCACAGAGGTGCTGCTTCTGAAAGAAGGGAATGGGAGTGGGAGCACCCCAGAACACTGCTGATGAGTGTTCTTGCCTGACCCTGTCCCTAGAAGCTGGAGAGAGGACTGACTCCTACCTTGCTCTGGAATCAATGTTGTTATCGCAAGGACCAAATCCTCTTTCCCTGATAAGGAAGCTGGTACCCCAAGTTACAACTTATTGAATTTTCAAGGGATCAGTGAAAACAGAATTACACTGGTTTTGGTGCAGGTTTTTTGGGTTCTTTTTTTTCTTTTTTTGTTCTCCATGATAAATATTTTGCTAAATAAATAACTGGACTGGATTCCTGTAAGCAATGCATTACATATTAATCACTCACTGGTACTCCACTGAGACCCTTTTCCGTCCTAGCCTTCTTGAAAGGACAGCTCTAGAGAACTTTGCTCTGGTCATGGCACAGGAACACACAAGCCATGCAGAAGTCATAGATACAATTAAGAAAATATTTATTTGGCTCACATGGATTAAAATGCTAGGCAAGGTACTCAGCCAATACTGCTGTTGTTAGAAACCATGCCAAACCTTCACAGTCTTCTCAGGAAACATTGTAAATACGTTAAAGCATGTCAAAGAACAAAGTACAGGATGACAGAGGGATTTAAATCCTATCAACTCATCAAAGAGGATACTTATTAAACATATCAGCAGTTAGATTTTGCTAGCTGTCCTATATTTTTACAGGTTTTCTAATCATATAAATTACTGAGGTCCATATTAGGTTTCTTTAATGGTAGCTCACTGTTTTCACAAATAAGCTCTGTAAGTGGTTTTAGAAATAACTCCGTCACACAGTAAAACCGACAACCCTCATTCAAATCAAGGCACAGAGCCAACAAACCCAATACAAATCGGGTTGCAGATTTCAAAGACTGATCTCTATCAAGTATGATTCCTGATAAGTGTTGGCTTTGATTAAAGTAACATGTAATTACTCAGATACAGCTACAACCAACGTTTTTTTTTGAAAACTATAATCGTGTTTTTAAGAAAATGTTAGGGCATAAGGACAACTTCCAAGTAGCATCTATAATCAAGGAGCAAAAGCAATGTATGTTCACTCCTTTTCCAAATCCTGCTCTATTTCTTTTGGTCATCCTGTGAGTTTGACTTATGAAAGAACTGGAAAATGGGCTTCTTTTCTCCTCTAGAAAAGGGCAGGGTCAGCTGATAAAATCAAGGACAATCCTTTTCCTGGACTCAGAAAACAAAGGATATCAATACACAAGAATATGCTGTATTTCAGCTGTTTTCATGTTCTCACTCCGCCTGAACAGCCTTCATCTTACAGCTAATCTACACAGTGAGGACTAAGCACCAGCTCTATAAAGAAAGTCTTTGGAAAGAGTAACAGACATTGTATTTTATTCCATGGACAGTCATCCCATTTGTAGTGGAGGACAAAATTACTTTTCTGCTACCTCTACAGGAGAAAGAAAAATATTCTGACTAGACCACACTCTGGAAAATGGATTCCTCATATAGAACTCTTTCCAGAATTACCTTTTCTATTTCAGCCAGACAGATTCCCTAACTCTTTGAACAAAGTCCCTAGTTGCTTATCAATACTTGCTAGTTCTCTGCAAAACAGCTGAATGTGTGCTAAGCTTCATGAAACAGCAAAACTAATCCTTGCACACAATCTTCACACGTAGCCTTCAGAAACTACTCCAGCACCACGAACAACTCACTTGTTTCTTACCTTCAGGTACCAGTGTGGGTTATTTAAAGCTGTATGAAGTGCAGTTCTCGGGGCAGCATTCAAGTGCCCACGGAGAACAGCAGCTGTGTTGAAATACAGTATCTCATGCAGAGTCCTGCGGTCTGCAGGAACCAGGTATTTTCTGAAAAAGCATGGGGTATGGGGAAAGTGGGGGAGACACAAGCCTCAGCTTAAGGGAAATAACAGAAGTCTGCTGCAGTCAGAGACTACAAGAATGTATGTTTCCCAACCAGTACAGACAAATCTCTGAAAAAACAATATGAACAGCACTGAAAAAAAAAAACTCTTAAGCAGAGAAGTCTGTTTTTATCAACTCTACATCTAATGGATTTAGCATAGAACTCTAGCTGGGCCACTGACAAATTCAAAAATAAGGGCAGCAGCTAAAATGCTAACACCCATCATGTACTCCATAGATTTTGCTTATCCATCCTGAGGCCTCATGATGAGTCTCTGCTCATCTTTGTCTTCATATCTGAAGCTTTTTTCTTGGTACAGTCATAGTTCTGTTAGCTTCTCTGCCTCCCTCCCTGCCCAAGGCTCTATAATTAAGTGCCTTCATCTCTTCCCCCACCACAACAAGCCTTTCACATTTTCCACTACACAGCTGCCTCCAAAACTGTATCTGCTATGGCTTGCTCACCAAAACAGTTCCCAAAATGAACAGTATATCACACTTGACATCTGTACAGTTTCATAAGTAGAACAGATCAGCAAAGATTAGGGTAAAAACTCTTGACTTTTTTCTGCTATGTATACCCAGTCCTCCCTCAACTTTTTTTTCTGTAGCCAAAGTAAGTTGGTCAATCCATATACCAATTATTTCAACTAATCTGAAGAAAAGAGGTGGGTTTTTTTAGTTATTGTTTTTAAAGACCTCCAAAAAAGAACAGGAATCAAAAAAAAGTGTTCTGCAGGGACCAAGACACAATTTCAATGAGACTAACACGTTAGTAAAATTTCATTTGCAACTTATGGTGCAAACTAATACAGGAATATAAAATGGGAAAGCTCACCTTACAAGACTGTCTATATAGTCAACAACTTCAAAACGAAGCATTTCAAACTTTGTCAGTTTCTTAGACCGCCTTGATTCCTTCAACTCCAACAAAGTCTTTAAAAAAAAGTGGTGCATAAAACTACATGGGAGGTAGTTATTCTCTAGAGAACACAATCTATATGTTTAACATGTATAATTAATTTTTGCTGGCATGTCTTCACTGATGATGTTTGAACGCGTGATTGTGCAGTTATTTTTATTTAGGCCAATGTATTCAATTCTCAAACCCATAGGAGTCTGGGAAATTCAAAGAAACATGTGTTAGGCAGAATGTTCAAATTAGTAGACAAATTAAAAGAAAACATCTACTTTGCATTTTAAAATCCTAGTTCATGATAGATATTTTCTATAATTTTCTATGTGTCAGGAGGGCCTGACATACGTAGTTGGCATTTATTCATTCATTTTTAAGATGAGACACTTATACCCAACCTTTACACAGAGCTCCAGCAAGCTGGGAAGAACTAACCATGAACAATTACATCTTAAATGATTCATTTAAGGAACTAGCACAGGCCTAACCTTCTGAAGATGATAAAGGTCTGTCTTCTTCTGGAGCTCCTTTTGTGATGATATGGACACATCTTGTTCTTGGAAAGCTTCTGCTACTAGAACAAAACTGATGTTTGATATGTGGGGTAAACTTTTCCTGTCCACCTACATAAACCCCCTAACCCAAGCAATCTGACAAGTGTTCAGTTATTTGTTCACATAGACCCAAACACAGGCAGCTTTTGATCTTGCACCTTGTCAAACAAGGAGTCTGCAGTGCAGCTTAACCAACAGTAATTAACTAACTGAAGCAAGTCAGCCCTGAGCAAAGATCCAGCACAAGCCTTGCTCATCATATGAATTCTGTTTATGCTATCCTAGGTCATATTCTCAACATTTTTAAATTGGACAGATGAGTATTAGATACTACTGATGCTTAGGAGTATTCAAAATGCCACACACTGTATTTTCTCCCTTCTCATGTGAAGGAAAACATTGAGTGAGAAATGAGTTCTCCCTATGTAACCCAGAACTGCAACTAGAGCAGCAAACCAGAAGTGTGCTAAGGTATTTCATTGCCCAGTTTTATTCTCATCTTAATTTATAACAAAATTTCATTTTCATAGCCATATAGTTTGTTACCAATTGCACCAATTATTAGTAATTTTTACGAGAAAACAAAAAAGCAAAAACTTCCAAAGCATCATCATCACCAGGATAAGCAATAAACAATATCAAACCAAAAGCTAACTAGATTTCTTGCCTTACTTAAGAAGATAGTAGATGGAGGTTCCACCTATAGGTCACAAGTAAAGCTCCAATCAGCCGTGACAATCATGATATATTAAAGCTTTTTTGTGACCTACATAGAATGATTTGCTATTTCCTGGGCCCTGTGGACATTTCTATGCGTGTTGAAGATTTCAAAACAGAAAACTTCCTCTCCACTACTACACCAATTTTTTTTTCCCCCCAAATCCTTCAGCTCAAAATAGACTGAACATAAAGATATTTTGCTTCCTCAGGCTTCATGATTTTATGTTTTTCAGTTCATTAGGCAGTCAGGACAATGGACTTTGTTGCTGCTAAAAAAAATAGTATTTTGGACTACCCTTTCACTCTAAGGGTTCTGTGGGCAATTTGGGTACATAACATTTTTGGCAGACTTCTGAGAATTCCTGCTAAAGATCAATACAATCACATAAATATATAAAGTGAAAAGTTATCTAACTCAGCAACCTATTAACGTACAGTTTATTTTAACTTCCCCTTCTAATTTTTCCATTACAGCTTAAATCCACTTTGAAAACAAACTAAGATCATTCATGGATTCATTAGACCTTCTCTGCTTTAAAACCATCTTTAAATCCTAAGTGAAAATAAGTAGTCTTTTTTGTTTTATAATTCTGCGAGTCCCTGAATTCCCAGAGTTGTTTTTCTTTATTTATTTCCTCAAGGTAAAAATCCAACTACTTAAAGGCCTTTTGCTTCAATTCTTTTTTAGCCAAACTAGATGAACCTTTAGGTTTTCCAGCATAGTTCAGATTCTTCAGTGCTGGTACCTTCAGTGACATACACAGCTTTTTCAAAGTGCTGACCTATTTCCTCTAGCACAGCTCTGCTATTACTACATCTATTAAAAAATACATGGAACAGGCAAGAGCCAATTCTTCTAAACAACGCTCAGTTAACCCTAAAGCATTGCAAGACTACTTTAATTAATATTGAATTAATTAAATATTAATTAATTAATATTTGGTGGCTTACTGCCTACTTGTCCAATGCTAGGTAGCGACCACATTGGTAGTGAGCTTAATTAATATGTATAAAACAGACCAGATGATAACTGATTCATCTTTGAAAGGGGAGAACACTGAAGAGTGCTTCTCCATATTTCAGGGGAGGCAATGAAATTCCTATTCCAGAAGAATGCTGGATTACATCATACTCCTGTTTCAGAAGGAATATGTCAGCTTCTGAAAGACAGAAGGCTGTTGCTCTGAAATATGTCCTCTACCACGAACAACCAAATATATGGGCTCGACAAGTTACAGCATGTCAACAGAGCCCTGACAACTGGCCCTTGGTGTCCTAGCTCTGAACGTGCAGGTCAAAGAACTTCACATACATTTGGACTAAATACCACGTCATAAGGAAGTCTGCTGCTATTTATCTTTCAATATAGTTTTTAATTTGTTAAATGTTTTTGGCAATTGCAACGTATGCTAAAATGCTCAAAATACACGTATGAGACATTTAGCGAGTAATGTTTGCTGATCTGTCCAGTTTCTTATCTTACATCACTCTTCCGTACCATAAAAAGCATGAACGCCACAGCAGTAAAGAATATAAACATTTTGTAATTTTGTGCATGTATTTAAAAAACAATCCTGCAAATCTGATGGTTTGATACAGTGACAGGATATCTCGGGGAAAATGAAACCCATTGGTCAGACAACAAAACAGCTTTTATATAATCCACAGTGGAATACATGATGGTACACACCCACCTTCTAGATTCTCAAACTCGGTCAAGAACTTCTTCAACTTCTCTACTGTCTTATCAAACTCTTTTCCGGAAGATGACAGCAAAATTTCCATGCATTGTTGAAGCATGGTTACCAAATCAGACTTATTCAACATCCTAAAAGGCATAATTGTTGGCTGAAGTTAAAACGCAGTGATGAAACAGCTTTCAATGTTCTTAGTTGAAAAAGAGTTAAAAAAAAAAATTGAAAAACTCCTTTTAAAAGAAAAAAATCTCCAGAATTTCAAGCATTTAGCCTAGAGGTAAAGTCCATTTTTTTCTTGCTGACATTAACAGAAAGAAACAAACCAATTTTGTTTCGTGAAGACATCCTTCACATTGTCCTGTAGAACAGAAGTTTTTTCTGATACTCTACCTAAAACCACTTGCTGAATACAGGAATTACAATTTTTGAAACTGTGAGAGAGAAAAAAACCCTAAAAAGCACCAACCAACCAAAAAAACCCCAAGCCAAAAAAAAAAACCACCTTAAAACCCAAGTATGGTAGGATTCATAACTCACTCCCAAGAACAGTAAACAAAAGAGTAAAAAAAAAAAAAAAAAAAAAATCAGTATGTAAACACATTCACAAAATCCATTACTCTTTGTGATTCAGAATGACCCTCAAATGAAATTAGAATTGCTGGGGGTTTTGTTTGTTTTTGGGTTTTTTTGAATTGCTGTAAATCTAACCACCACTAGAATCCCAGAACCATCCAAGTTGGAAGGGACCTCTTGAGATTATCTAGCCCCACCTCCAGCCCTGCATTTACTTACTGTTAAATTACAAATGCCTTTTACAAATGTCACCAAGCACTGCTCAATCTCGTAATCTTAATTTAAATGATATCAAAGCAAGTCCTTGCAAATATCCGTAAATAAAATCCAGAATTAGTCATTGCATCCTGCCAGTACCATTACACATGCCTGTAACTTTTTTTCATGCAGCATAAGAGGTTCCCATTGCTAAACACTCTGGTTCTGATCAACCATACATTTGTAAAGCCTCTGTTACTAAGAGCCCTTCCCAGCCCATTCTTGTGGGTTTGCTTTGCCTTACACAAAACAAAGGTGCTAATACAAAAAAACAATGCTAATAGTTTGAGAATTTTAGAAGACACAAAAAGCACAGCTACACAAAAAAGAGAGCATGACAAAGAATTAGAGTATGGTGGTCTGTGTGTCAGGCAGTGGGTTTCCATATCAGATACCTACTGACTAAGAAATTTAAGGAAGACTTCAGAAGAGGCTGGGGAAGCTCTGTGGATGTCTGGAGGGACAACTGCAGTTTGAGCTCTAGCTTCTAGCTGGCAGTTGATGTTAAATGCTTATAAAAGTTAGAATTTGAAACTTCAGTTTATCTGCTTCAGGGTTATGGATTTTTGCAAGTCAGCTATTGCCTTCAGATACACTTGTTTTGTACAGAAAAGCATCAGGAGTTAGCAACACAAAGGATGGCCTTGACCACACAACAGGCTAAAAAACATTTTTAAACTGTCTTCTATAATGTAATGGGTAAACAACATAGCCTTGTTCCAGGTCAGACAAAACACTGCAATAATTAAACACTCAAGATGGACAGAGGACAAACAGATCTAGAGATCTGTGAATGAGAAAGAACAAATTTATTTTAGTAATATTATTCAAAATGAAACTGCAAGTTGTAGAAAAACTTATTTACGACAACAATGGGATTATAGGGCCCAAAGAACAGAAAAGATGGTTATCATGTATGAGCAAACAGTAAAGGATCCTTTTCAACCTTTTACATTTGAGATTACTGCAAGGTATGCCAGTTATCCGAGAGTGGGGTTAAGATTTTAATTTGACTAGGAGTCAGGCTTACAGCAGAAAGTAAGATCTCAGATCATCATAAGGCAGTAAATAAATCTGATTATTCAGAGACCAGTTCTGAAAGAGAAGAAGTCCACAGAAACTTCTTCTGAATGGTGAAGTGGGGAATCAACTGAAGAAATGATAACAGAGATTGGTCAGCACCAAAATGACCGAGTCACAGAAGGGCAGGACTGTGATAAGCAGCATGTGATGAAAAGCCTTTGGCAGACAAAAAACAGACTACAATGTCTAGACAGAGGACAATAGGTCAGACTGCAAGTTTTGCCACCTAGAAGCTTGACCAGATGTCCCAGGCAGTTAGGTCCACATAACCAATCCAGTGAGACACTCTCCAGCATCTCTTATCTTCTCTCTCTTCTGACTGGATTAATCCAAAGTGAAATAAAGCTCACACTTTTTTGACTCAAGGCAACTCAAGAAGAATAACTACTGTCTAGACTGCTAAAGTTAAATGACATGAAACATGATCTTTGGGGATAGCATTTCTAGTAGAAGAGAGAAAAGCCTGTCCAAGGAAAGGCTGAAGTAGAGAAACCAACCACAAAAGAAACTCAATTCAACTGAAACCCCCACATTCAAACATAATTCACGAAAGGCAAAAGAGATACTTTGTTAGAAAGTGAGAAATAAGCTGATCCAAAGCTTTTCTATTTTTTACTTTCTAAATACAAGGAAAAAAAGATGGATTTTAGAAAAACATTGAAAAGAAGAATATGAGATGGGGAAAGGTGAACGTAAGGACATCAACAGGTGATGTGGCTCCTGGGAAGGCAGAGATATTAAGGAACAGTGAGTAACTTCTAAACCTGAACAAAAGGGGAAAAAAAAAAGATTACGAGTCAAATTGGAAAGATCGCATTTTATCATTTTCTTCTAAAAGATGGCAAGCAAGATTCCATGTAGAAAAAGTAGAGACAAGAGGAAGTATGTGTAAAATGGAAGGTAGAATTAAAGTTACAAGCTGAAAAAAAAATAGTCACAGCTAGAATTCCAAGTATTTGAAGAAATTATGTTGGAGGAGTTTTGTTAGGAAATTAATAGACTTTCTGGATAAAAACAAAGAATCATAGAATCATCATCTATGAAAGGAATGACCACATTCACTGTATTTCTATCAGAAGCTCCCACAGTGGGAGCCAGGACCAGAAGAACAACAGGAGGGAGATGAACAGATAAGAATAAAAGGGGAGCAAGCCAGAATCTGATGGCAGCATCCACTCTGAGATAGGAGACAGATGAATTCAGAGGATGAAAGCAAATTAAACATAGGAGAAGAAAAAGGAGGGGAAAATGGCCAAGTGTTAAGAGATTACAGACAGACAATACAGGAAAGCAGAATGACACATTTGTGGGCAAGAGTTGATAGGTGACTGAGTGCTGTCAAGATTCAGGAGAGTCAGAGAAGGAATTAGAGGGACAGATTGCAGAAATGACAAATCAAGCACGTAATCCTTTCAAAGGGATGAGAGTGAAGAACACAGAGCAGTGGCTATGTGTAAGAACCGCTCAGTACGGCAAAGGTACAGTCTGAAGCACATATTTCCTTGTGTATATGAGCCCAGAAAGTTATTCTTCACCCACCACTGACATGTTTTTTCTGTTCAGTTTTACAGTGTAACACATCAAACCTCACCAGCTCAGAGTCTCTAGAAGAGGCAGTTACGGCAATGGCGTCGCATTGGCTCCCGTGCGACAGAACCGATGTATTATTTGAACGAATGCAATTATCAGGACACCTGCTACATGTCTGTTTAAAGCACATTTAAAAGTCTGTAGCTGTAACACTGCAATTGAAATGTTTTCTATTAAGAAAATTGGTAGGCAACACCAGTGGAGGCTCTCCTAAAGTCCTACTCTTACAATAACACAAAAAATTAACCCAGTCCCTATACAAACTATTAGACAAAAGAGGAACAGAGGGAAAGCAGTAAAATAAAAAAAGAAAGGTCTCAGCTACTGTTCATTTGGAACAGATTCTAATTTTCACAACAGATTAACATTTAAGCCAACTAACACTAATAATTTGATTGATAACATCTAACACAATCATACTTTAAAAGACAAAACCCAAATCATGTTCTCATTCACACAAAATAATCTCAGTGGTTTCAGCATAATTACTTGGGGTATATGAGATATTAGAACCTGGTTGAATTTCACAAAAATCAGTAGAAAACCAAAATGAAAACAGCAGTCATTTATATTTGCAAACAATCCTAAAGCTAGCTGTAAATATGTAATATCCTCAGCTTCAAGTTCCAAAATAACTGGTGATTGATACTCTCCACGTGTACAGTGGTATTAAAACACAATGGGGGTGGGGGGGAAATCACCTTGCTAGCTGAAGAGATGACTCATACTCTTCTGTCTCCCACACTTGGTTTTCCAAACATGCACAGTGCAGCTCCCTGATCTGTTATGCAGAAGGTGAAGAAAGGATAAAATGTTTTACAAAGCAGTGCAGAAATCTTACAACAAGTTGTTCTAAGTAATATGCAATTCTTTTGGAGCTTGTTTCCCAAAGATGCAGAATGACTGCAAAAGAATTGTGAATATCTTCCAGAACTAAGCTTCTAGTGTTGCTGGAGAGTGTGTTGTTCTGCACCAGGTTTAAAACAACTAACATTCAGATGAAGATAACTGCAGTGAACAGAGAAGAACTCCAATCAAATGCCCAAGCTAAAATGTCCTGTTATTCTCAAATACTGGTACAGTTCATGCTGCATTTGCAGTTAGTGACAGACTCTAGTTAAGTATGTAATACCTGGAGAACTGAGAGACAAGTGCACATGCACAGAGTATACTGCTCTTCTACTGGAAGAAGTTGCTGAGCATGAGAAAGTGGATTAATCACAATAGAGAAATAGGTTATTAAAAGCAATTATCACTGTTCCTTAACTATCGTTTTTTCCTGTACAGAAGGTTGCTAAAAACTCAGTCTCTTCATCTGAATTTGACTAGTGATCTAATAGGTGGTAGAAGAGTATACATTCTCTGCAATGCATATAGATGTCCCAGACGTGGGAAAGTCAATGTGTGGATTCTTTTGCTGATTTGTGCATCTGCGTCCTCCTGGAAACTCCTTCCTGTGGACTGACAAGGTATCACCTATGCCCAGAAAGAAATCACTGCTGCCCTCTGCAAGAAAGCATCTGTCTCCATTTTAAGAAGCAGAGGGCAAACCAGCACATTAGTAAACAAAGAGAAAGAGTAAATATTTATTCAGACATCATACTTGGAGAAAAAATGCAACAAAACCCATATATAACAGTACATCACCTGCTTGCCCAAAGGATACTTTGGAAGAGAAGATGTGAAAACATGAAGACATCTCAGAACTGAAACATAATTTTCGTGGTAAACATGTAAGTCCTCCAGCAGTTTCTGTGTTTCTTCCTACAGTGACAGAATAATTTTTTTAAGTCATTCTGACATCCATTAAAAACTCTTATAAAGCACTTAAAATTACTGTGAAGTTCTGACAATGTAGTGTGCTATAATTAAAATCACCAACATTAAATTAAGATACTGAGCAAAAGAGCTCAGTTCAATAGTTCACTGCATTTACATGGTGTAATGTTAACTGTACCTTCTTCCTCCAGCTCAGTAGAGATTTGTTATTGATTACAATTATTATTTTACCATTTTCACCTAGAGTTAGGCCTTTAGATTTGGTGCGTTATCTCACAATAATGAGACTATACACTATTCCTTTAATAGGCAAAAAGAAGTTATATAGCTATGTTTACTTGAAAATTTGCATTTTTATATTACAAATGCATTTAAAAATTTATTTCTTATATTGTGGGTGGTTGATGTTTTTATTAGTTAGGTATACATAAAAAAACAGTTCACAGAAAATAAAGAAATATTCAGTTGCTGCTCCTATGTGTTCTTAATTTGACTTTTGTGTATTCATGGGTTGAGAACTGCAGAAAAAAAAATCACATATTAGGAAAAAGAAATTATTGACTTCTGCTGGATGAATTCTCACTATCACTGGCCTCTCATGGAAGCATATATTAACACTTGGAAAGGCCCACTCAAAAATTCCGGTAACTGTACTAAAGTACTTTGGTCTTGTTACATTTAAGTTTGTGAATCAAAAGATCATCTCTCTCCTGTCCTCTGTCAAGGATAAAGAGGAAAAAACCATGGGATTCTCTACATATTTTATTGCTATTTTGCTCAACTCTGAGCAACCTATTCCAAACAGACAGAGAAAAATAAAACAAGCCACTAAAGTTTCCTAAAGTTAAACTGAAACAAAAAGTATCAAAGAGAAAAGAAAAGCAAACCCTTGCCTGCAAGCAATATAAGGAAGTACTAACGTGCAGAAAGAAAAGGCATCATCCTGCAAAGACTGAATACCACAAAGACACTTGGTGCTATAAAGCTTTCTGGTGTTGAAAAATATTAATGACATTCCTCCTCACAGACTTTTTACATACTGAAATGTAAGGTCACTGATATAACAACTGTTTAAATGACTTCCAAGACCTTAGGGTAGACACTCAGAAGTTTGTCCTTTAATTCTAAGTAGGATCATTAAGAAAAAAATTATCCCTACCACAAAAAAAGCGATAAAAGAAAAAAGTTCTCTTTAATACTGCTACATCAATCTTACTTCCCCAAACCCAGAGCATTATTAACCCATCTATATTTGCCTCATCTTGTTTCTTAGCTCAAGACTGATGTAGTTAATATAAATAAATAGTAATGTATTTTGCCAAATAATGAAGTGAAAAGGCATACGCTGTTTTAGAAGAGTTTAAAAACCTTATTAGAAGACTATGCAATGTTATTTCCATAAATGGAGATAACAGATATAGATCACCACTTTTACATAATTTCAAATTAAATTTGCCATGAAAACTTTCAGACAGATTTGTTAAAAATCACGATGTAAAACTGCTTTTAAAACTGATTATTTTAAGTAGGCGAAACTCTTCCTGTAGTTATTAAAAAAAGTGGCAACAACACGGAATATAAATGCAGCTGATAAAGGGTATTGCAGATTTAGGGGCTAAGCTTGAAGACCAAGTTTACCTGGTCCTGAAATATGAACAGTAAATTTATATGAAAAAGTACCACAATTACTCTGAAAGTGTTTCCTAGGTTTAGAATGATACTGTAGATTAGCATGACATACAGAATATAACAGCACCACATCAATGCAGCAGCAGGACTTTTCCTCTCAGGCAGACTACACTGCCAGCGTGGCCAGGCAATAATGGTCCTACTCCTACTGTAGAGATTAGAACAAGTGTCTTCAATTAGAATTTGTGATAAGGATCTTAAGCATCTAGGCGCAAGAATTCCGGCTTCCTTCCCAAAATTACAGGGTGAAGCTTGTGAAATAAGGGGTATATTACTAAACATATAAGGTTTAAAACATGGAAAGTTTAAGCTGATGAGTCTTAAACTTTCAAAGTAGGTGTGAATAAACAGCAGGGGAACAGCAGTAGCTTAGGCTATTTTTGCCAACGAAGATTATAAAATCATGTCTCGCCTTGACTACCGTAATTACACTTGCAAACTTGCCTGCTACTAACCTCTCTTGCAGACATTACCATTGTTCTTCACACCTGAAAAAGCCTTACAGTCCAGGAAGCTCTGCTAGGACAAATTAATTACTCTCTCCCTATAGTACCATTTGCCTGACAGGTTAGTTAGACTTAATACGAAGAGTTGGGAGAAACCCTTTACCTTTAACAATGCTTTTACTGGGAGTGGTTCGGATGATGAAAATAACCAACAGATTTTTGTTGGTGAATCCCTAAAGGGCTCACAATAGCAGTACTCTGACTTCAATCACTTTACAAAACTTCAGATAAACATGTAACAAATTGAAGTTTTCATCCTGTATGAGACCTAGTGTGAATGTGTGCCTTGGGACACAGACTCTGCCCTACTGAGTTCAATCAGAAACTACACAGAGGGTATGAAGGATTAAGAGCTTATGAAATAACCTTCGAGATTACTTACACATTCTCCAAACACTTAACAGAACTTCCAAGAAAGTCAGTCTGAGTAAGCATGAAAAGACTTGGCCATAAATAAACCTTGTAACCTTCCTTTTAAGCAGTTATATTTCCAGACATAAATAAAAGTTGATGCAAGGAAGTTGTGCAGCTTTGTATAAAGGCTGACCTGGCAACCCTAGAGATTTGAAATTTTGACCTGCCAATTCTAATTCTTCATTACTGGACATGAAGTACAGTATGTCCTGTATGAAAGACGCTATATAGGACTATACATCTTGGTCTTGTATTTTATTATGCTCTGCAAACTAATATATTGGGCAAGTTATCTTTGTTCTCCAAAGACATTCTTAAAATTTTACCTTTAAGAAGTTGTCTGTTGTCAGTAGTGCAACCTGTTTCCCTGACTCCTGCTCTTCCACGTACCTGATGGCAAGAAAGAAAAACAACATAAAATTATGAAGTAAAGAAAGATTCTAAGGTTAAAAAAAATTAAAATGTTTACACTGCTACAAAGATTTATTTTGGAAAGAAATGTCCTTTGGGCTGTCCTTGAAAAAGGACAGTCAAATCCAACAAGTTGAAAGGCTACTCCAAAACCCTGGAGATTATGCTCCAAATCAGCTTAACAAGTTCAAAAGTGATTTATGGTTAGTTGTCACAGTAGCTTGTTTCTGTATTGAGAACAAGAAGGGAAAAAAAATTCAAGTGATTACACACCACAGAAGCTGTACTCTCTTGACTAGATTAAGGTTTCCCGTCCTCCGTTTGATCAATTCGCCTTTGCTCTTTTATTCTTTTTTAAAGCTGACTCAATAAATGATTGTCCAAAAAATTTATTTTCCCTTTTACCTTCTAAAAGAGGGCAGTCTCCGAATGTTTTCACACTGATCATGAGATAAAGAATGAACTCTCTTCTGAAGATCTGCCAGTTGGCAACACAGTACACTAAGAGGCTGGGAATAGAAGTGCTCCACAATACAGAGCTGAAAAACAAAGCAAGAAATAGAGATGATAATAAAATCCATCCTCCCTGCTATATCTATCTACTTTTTAATGCTTTCTTATTACTACAATGCATATACTACAATGGCAGTAATGGTACTCTCTAAAAAAAATTCATTACAATTCATAAAGATTCCGTAAGTCACTAAAGGGCACTGATTATACAATCACATAATTACCTTCTTTGCTGTATGTGCTGTTCATTTTCAGTATCTCTTATTTCCCTCTCTTATGTAGTAACTATAGCTTGTCAAATATCTTATAGTCACTTATGTGAATTACTGCATTCTTTAGCTTATATTTCAGCTCCAATGCTTACAAATATTCAAGGTTGCATTTAGAGATATGAAGAGCAACTGCTGTACACAAGCCAATTTCTGTTTCATGTATACAAAAATACACTGTTAAGCTCTGTCTATGCATACATACAAATGCACTTTATTATCGATTTCACCCGAATTAAATGTTTGCAGCATCAGGGCCTTGCAGAACAATAGCACATGCTCATCACATCTATTCTTAAAAACCAAACAAACCCCGATCAAACAGACTACCTCACTAAAAACTTTTAAAACATAAAAACTGTCAAAGAGGAAAGACACTTCCTATCAGAAAAGTTAACAACATGCTTAGACATAATGAGATGATTGTGATCCCTTCTATTTATTACTTAGAAAATCTGATCTGAAATTGCTTCATCACTGAATACTTTTAACACACAAGGACATAGCCATATGTTGTCAGGGCTAGAATTTGCACTTTCATATCAGGCCAGTGGAGAATTATTAGATTTTGATGACTCTTTCAAATTAGAGGAGTTGAAACCTACGAAAGCCCACACAGATCTGTCTGCAGGAAGTGGTACTACAGCTAGGATATTTCTTCTGGCCACATGTAATCATTGAATCTTAGATAGCAAAGAATCCAAGAAACTCTAAAGGTATATGACACTAAAAGGGCATGTTCTACTAACAGGGTCACATATGCAACTAGGCAAGAAAGAAACAATTTCACAAACCTGTATTCAAACAGATTACAGGGGCTACAAATTCTTCAGAGAACCCTTCTCTGCAATGCACAAAAGCTACAAAATCCACAAAAGGAGACTCAAACACATAAATACATCTAGATATGAAGATCTACACAAGCCAACGAAAATTTAATTATTGTGCTCTGTACAGACTATTTTTAGAAACCTTGAACTCCTCCACTTTGTCTCCCGAGAGAGGGTAAATGTAACTCCGCACCATTGCACAGCTGCTTGGAGCACAAGCATTACCTACTTTGAGGCACAAGTAAGTGACTCTGTAGCTACTATTCCCCTGAAAAGGTAACAAGTGTGCATCCAGAAACTACGCCAGAAGAGTTCAAGAGGGGAAGAGACACTGCTGTAGCCTATTCACACCAAGACAAACCAGAGTCCAAGGACCTGGTACAGAAAATCAGAGACAGAGAGTTTTGCAAGGGGTGTTAGAAAGCTACAAGTTAATCTACAGCAAAACACAGTTCTTTCTACCCACTAAGGCAGGTCACCCTTTTAAATGTAATCGTAAAATATTGGGGGTTTTGTGGCAGAGTAAACTTTTACTTCTTTTGCTTCTTCATACCTGCACTACAAGTTTTCTCTAAAACCCTTATCAGTTAAGGTTTTAAAACATGCATCTGTTCATAGACCCAACCTGTATCCAAAGGACATACAATTCAGCAATATTAGGTCCTATGAAATCTTTCAATGCCTAGTAATTACCCTTTGTTTTCACAACCATAATTTGAATTGTTACCACTGCGTACCTGAAATCCTTTGATAAAATTCTGGACAGAAAAATCATGGTACAAGAATATGTTGATGAGAACCTGCAGAACTTTTTCACCCAGTTTAAAGGGAAACTGGGCTGTCAGAAGCAGCTGAAAGAGAGACAAAAAGAAAAAGTAGCCATAGTAGAAATTTTCTCCTGAATTAAAATAAGCAAAACATATATATACAATTTGATACAACTCTCAGTATGTGTTAGCATTCAACTAAATCAGATACTAAATACACTGCCAGCTTCTAAAAACAGTATTTCTACTAACATATCCACGCAAAGATTGATTTTCAGTTTATTATTTTACCCCATTTTTGTAAGTACCTTTTACTAATGCAATATTTGAATTTAGTTTTTTGCTTAACGCTGGTTTTGTATTTATTGTAAAACTGCAAACAGAACAGAGACTGCTGTAATAAACAGAGATGCTACTACTTTCAGCACGTGTAACAACGATTTTGGAAATCCTGCACAAAGCGACGTACCAAGAATCCACAGGCATAACATGGCTTGAACATTTGGATGACTCAGCTAATGTTTGAGAGGTGGCAAAATTCAGGCTGAACTGTTATTTTGCTAACTTTAAAGCCATCTTTTTCTGGAACAAAGTAAAACTCAAAATCAAAGCACTACTTTAATGAAGACGTGTGAATGTGAAAGTGTAATTGCCCAAGTATACATGCACAGATGTCAATGCAAATGAAAGATGAAAGCAGGTGTGTTTCTCAGTGTGAGAAGGGAGCTCTCAGTATTAAGCTACTCTGCAGCTGTGAGTAGAAATATCCCAAATCCACAGCTCTCAGGGACAGATTCCTTTTCAAAACCTTCAGACCAACCTACCTTTAAAGGCCAGACATGTAGACTGTGCTGCAATACACACACTCTCCTTCTATTTATAAAGGGAATTACCTTGTCAATTATAGTAGACAGGTGGTCCTTACAGGAAAGGGACTGGAAAAGCTCTATGCACAGCAGAGAGGAAACAGAGTGAGGAAGTAATCTGTGGATAATCATCGGTGATGTAGCGATTCCAAAAATCAGCACTAGAGGTAATTCATGGATATGCTGACTAGATAATGATGGAAGGGAGAAAAAAACCCATAATAGTTACATTATAGAGACTCATGAAACAAATGCATTTTGTTCTTACTACAGCACTGAGCTTAGATGCAGAAAGGGGTAAGTTAAAAGATTTGTTGCATTTAATCTACATTCCATACATTCATAATTAGGTATTTATCCTTGCCACAAAAAGCAAAAGAAAATACAACACTTAAAAAACAATTAAAACCTAATTTTTCACTGCCGTACACCCTACTGATTTCCACATAACTGTGCACTTCTGATTTTACTTTTCAAAATGTTCCCTTGAGAATCCATCTGCCAGATCCAAAGTAGAAAACTATTTTTATTGTTGGTCCCTCAGCAAGAGAAATTGCCTGGGCCTTGTTTAGAGGTAATGTCAGGTGCACATGCTGCCCCTGAATTAATCATACAACTGCAGCCCCAGTTCTGATGCAACTGCAGTTTCAACCTGGGGACTAAGTGAAAGGTGCTCTTTTTGGAGAACAGCATGAGTTTTTGATTAGCACGCACGAGATGATATTAAGGAAGACAGGTTAAGGAAGAACAGAAGTACAGGAGCACCCGAAGTAGTCAGCTGCTGATTACAGATCCTGACCAACTGTATAAGTTTTACATACACTCCTATTGGTAAGCTAGTGACCTTTAATCACCATTAAATCAGTAGTCACACAAAAATATACTTTGAAAACAAATTTAAAAGCCTACAAAAGAAAGATCTAGGCATCTTAAAAAATTAGTTTCACATTCACAAATTCTACAACAACTAGTACCGAAAAATCCTCCTATGTGAAAAATTAAATCAGCCACCCTGTATCTCAGCCTGGTCCTTAGGCACTCTGGTTCAGAGTCTCAAGTTAGCTTTAGGGTAATTTATCCCCAAAACCTAGCAAATATGTTTTTGCTCAATCACTGCTGCAAAGAAGAAACACTAATATTTGATTCCAATGCTACACTGACCTCACTGTCACATTTCAAAACAGCTGCAAACATAAAATGGGTACAGTGGAGTAACTAAACTTCAAGTCATATTACCTGCAGATGACTATGAAGTCTTGAAGTACTTTTGTGGTGAAACTTTCCATGTCTTTGAATATGACTACAACTGGAGGAGACTGCCAGTGTGTAGAAGTAGTTCTTTTTTTGCTTGGAGTTTCAGAATCCGTTTTCTTTAAAGCCATTCATTAAACATTAACAAACAGAAGACAGTAAAATAAAAAGACTGAATCCCATCTATGATTATACATTACTCCAAAGTGACGTGACTGAACTTTTCGTCAGCTGTATTTATTATTAGCATCTAGAACTGCCATTTTTCATCCTTCTGTTTGGCACAGCATGAAGTACAAAGAATAAACAGATTTTAAGCACACATTCCAACAAAGACAAGAATAGCTCTGTGAGACAGAACTGGTGAAGTTCTGTTGGGATTGAGGGAGGAGATTTGAGTTGTGTACAGAGACATTACTTATTTCCTATATCTCTACCCAGTAACAAAAAGAGCATATACTCATTACACTTTTGTTTATCACACTGCTCTGATGAAGTCATCAGAAAATCAGTCCTAACTGTATTCATGACAGAAACAAAGTATAAAACTTTATTGGCTGTAGCAAACAGAAAGATACATAAACATTTTGAAGGTTATTTTCTTACTGCTTGCCAATGTACTCTGGGCTGCAGATGACATCATGGCTCATTAGCAGTAATACAGTACCTTTCCCCTGGATGGCTGTTCTTCCATCAAGTTTTGTTTTAATAAACAAAACATCTCAGCACTCCTGGGAGAAAAGCATCTGGCATGAAGCTGATACTGCATTTTAAGCTTCTAGTTCCCAATATGATAAAACAGTACTTTTTGCTTGTGTTTCAGAATTCTGACATTCATACGTTAACAGTAACTAACTCCACATTTGTTATATGTGTTACATATTATATTCAAATCACGTTAATCTCAAGGTTTTTTTAGTGTTAAATTAAAAGTTAACCTTTGGCATTTTCTCACAGAAATTTGAGTTATTAAATTCTTGTTTTAAACACATCTAAAGGTCAGGAATTTTCATCAACTGGTGACTAAAAAAAACCCCAAACAACATACCTTTGTTACACTCTCATACCATTTGATAAGAGAAGACATTGAACAGCGTATTCTATTCTGGGAAACCTGCACATAGTCCTCATCTTCCAATGAGTCCACATCTACATAGCAGTTCATCAGCTGCCCCATCAGCTTCTGCATCAGATTTTTTATGCCTTCACAAAAAATTTTAGACACAGGATAAAGACATTCGGTTATTCAGTAACACTTCTCCAATCCATACTCCAAAATATTACCCCAATTATTTTTTATATTACCCCAACTATTTTTCACATTTCTAACTAGTCTCCTTCTCTCTCCAGAATGCACATCTCCTGCTCCAGAAAGCATTAAGGCATGTTGTCAATGCAATAAAAATTATCCAATTAACTTGCCTAGATAGCAACAATTCAGGTTAAGATGTTGGTCTTCCACTTTTCCTGAACTCCAGCCACCTGCCATTACAGTGACCTAAAAATAACTAAGGCAGCCAATCCACAGAACTGAGGATACTGCCATAAATGACTTTTACTATTTTTAGTTAAAAAATAAAAAAGGAGCAAGGAGAGTGGGACAAAATTTTATTATACCCATTCTCTTGTAATAGTGTGACTGCAAACATTTAAAAAGTGGAATACATACATACACTGTCCAGTTAAACAAGAAGAAAGCCAGCCTACAGTATTGACGTGCAATACACTGAGCAACATGTTCTTGACATTTATGCTACATCTAAGTAGTATTTCAATCTTCATTGATTTAAAAAGAACTGGACACATCTTAAAATACAGTAGGCATTACTGCTGTGATGACGTGGGTTTGATCAAATCTTTAGAAAGTCTTCAGGATCCCTCCATCCACTCTTCTTACATTTGGGGGCAAAAGCCAAAATTTCTAGTTAATCGATACCTTATTCAAACAAGCAGCAAAACTATTGCGTTATTTACCTGGGCAGTCTTTAGCTTCCAGCAAGGCTATATAAGGAGTAATGTTATTCTGAAGGAAGTCTGAGACACTTCTGAAAGTCAAGTCATGATCTGTAACGTTTACACCTAGAAAAAAAAAAAAAATAAAAATTTTGAAGGGTATTTTTCCTGTGATTTGTGATCATAATGACTGAATAATAAACTGAACAGCAGACAAAAAACAAAAGATACCTCACACAGTTAAGGAAGGAATGGAAAGCATGGCATCAGCTATGACGAAAGATGAAAAACTAGCACAAGACTAGACATACATGTTGATTTTCCCTGATTAAGAGAAACAGGAATCACTGCAAAGGCCCCTCATATACTTTGGTTTTTTTTTTTTTTTTTAGAAGAAAGATTTCTCAAGAGTGCAAAACTGCAAGAAGTAGGATTGGTTTCCCAACATCCCTGCTACTGATATCCTCATAAGCCATCCACTTGTCTGCAGACAAGAAGTTAAGCTCACCTTCTGCAGAAGAATACTGCATATGCCCAAGTTCTGGATCCTCACGTCTTATGTGAAGAGGAAAACTACTACGAATGAGTAGGAATCTCCACCTGAATTCACTATGAACTACCTACTATTTAATGCCTTTATTAGTACCCTTAGTCAACCAAAAAAAAGAAAAAATAAGAACAAGTCCCTCCAGAAGGCAATTCAGAGCTTCTTTCACAGAAATATCTCAAGCAGGAGCTTTTTACTTTCTACTGCCTATAAAAGCAGAGTACTTTCCCCTCTTTGTTAGTGCTCACATGGTAAGTTTGAAGGATTGGCCTGATTTTAGGTTCCCTAAAATGATCCACTGAAAATGCAATTAACTTACTTAGAATCAGGTTTAGGATTATAATTAAAAACCTTTGATAGAAAGAAGCAGGGGGGAAAAAAAAAAGAAAAAAAAAAAGACAGACTTCAGAACTCTACTATCTTTAGTAATATGATATTCAGCCATTTTCTTCATTCTCTGTACCTTTTCCAAGATACAGACACTGCTTTCCTACACGTAAAGATGCACTGAAAGAACATATATCAGAAAAACAGAAGCTATGTAAAGTCATGTTTAAGCATGCTGGTGGCAGAAACAGGGACAGAATCAAAGTACCTCCAGTGCCTCAGCGCTACCCCCTGCCTAAAAAAAAAAACTTTAAGGAAGGTGTTGACCTACTGGACTATTGTGCATATAGACAAAAGGGAGAGAGGTTTTATCTTGCTTCCTTCTCCCAGTCCACTCTCTTCCGTTAACATTTTTGAAGCTGATATTGCTCACAGTAACTGCTGGGAGTCAGCAAGGTAATTTTCTTTGATCTCCCTGTCAGTTTTAAACAGATGTACATAAAAAAATATAACATAAAAAAATTACCTAAGACAAGAGCTGCAGTGGGGATTTCTCTGAACTTCATCCGGCAAGTCCATTCTGCTGTCTTCTCTTGAAATTCAGAATGAAACCGGCTCAAAAAATTCATCAGATTATCAAGCAACTGCTTATTCAAGTCTTCCTGTACTTTCTGTAAACACAAATAGAGAGATTTTATTTATAAAAATGTGAAAACACGAGAGTATCACTCTGGAAAAGTCACATGAACTGGAATTTCAGTCCTTGCTACAAACATCAGGTTTGGTCATGACTATTTCTTGTGTGGTCTGATAACCATTATCTTCACATTAAAACTAAAATTACCATATTTTAGCTCTGTATTTTTTGTTTCTAACCTGGATCCTGATAGTTCAACTGGAATTCCTTGCCTCACAGGAAAACAATGTTCCTGAAAGCCCTTGACAAAATTTATCATAATAAGAACATTTGCAAGGCCATTTCTGACAGCAGGAGTCAAAACTGGAATACCTTGCAATACTGAAACAAAAAAGCCTTCCAAAATTCACCTTCCAAAACCAAAAGACAGTTCCTGCTGTACTTTTGTCAGGTTTTCACGTTGTGAGAAGCAGATGACAGATGGTGCTGCCACAATCACAGCACAGTTCATGACGGACATACAAAGAACAAGAGCGCTCCACAACAAAGTACCTGGAAGTCAAATCCTTTTCATTTTTCAACACCTCAAGGAGATACTAGTGACCAGCATGAGCACAGGGCCTGCCAACAAATCATCAGGTAGGAGTACCCTGGCAAAAACTCTGGAGAACATCCTGGGAGGCTCCCTTAGCACACTACCAGAACCCCTAGAATAAAAGTCCAAACCAGCAAACTACAACCTTCCCATGTATTCTGCCACAGATGAGGTTTACTACACCAGAGTTTGAAAGTTTATAAGAAATGAAATCCCAACTAGATAAAGCCCTCACCTACCTGGTCTGACCTCACAGATGATGCTGCTTTGAGCAGGAGTTCAGACAAGGGACTTCATAATGTCCCCTACAACGTGAATTACCACGCTATTTAATATATAAAAAACATTATCAGCCAACACTAGGATGAAAGGCTGGTAATTCAAAACTCATTAGGACAAGCATCACAGATACCCTAGAAGCTGGATGAAGAAAATTCTATGTGTAGCAGCAAAAGTAACTGCAGTTAATCTTCCCTTGGGCAATTCAAACTCTAAGGACAGGTCCTTATAAATTTGTCAATGTAGGATGAACTGTCTTCCATCAGGAGGAGTAAGACCAGAAAAAGTATTTGACAAACTCCTAACAGCCTCAAAGAAAACAAGGGTAGGAGACTTAGAGCAGGAAACAATGATGACTTTCCAGATGGGAAGCACAGTGGCTCTGTGCCTCTCACTCCTGCTCTGTGTGAGTGGTTAAGGGACGCTTTCACTATGATGGGCTGTGTCTGCTGCTCTAGGAGAAATCCTTGAAGAGCACTAGGAAAAAATCCAACACTTCGTCAACCAAAAAATCCTGTAGCCACTGTTGGCCATGCAGGAGATTTGTCTCAAAAGTCTTGACAACACTGTGCCAAAGAAAGAAGATCCAAGAAAGAAGATCTGCCAGAAGTAGCCACAGAAAGTCAGCTTCCCTATAATCCACCATGTAGCTGCCAAAGTGGTTTCTGGCTCAGCTGCCACCATTGCTGCCAACGATGGTAGTTAACCCATCGAGCTGTAGTAGTTGTCAGACAGATATCAAATACACCTCCACAAATTTCCATGTGTTCTCTTTGGTTGGCACTGTGATGCACTGCTTTACACCTGGCTAATTAGCCTGGCTAATCATGGTTTGAAAAGGCTACTGAGTAGTCCAAGTGAGCTGGATCATGGAATAGTAGGAACAGAATTACAGGAATTTATGATTTTAGCCCAAGGGTCCAGATTTTATGCTACATCCATCTGGCTTCTACTGCATATCCCAAAACAAACTTTGGGAAAAAATTTCTCATAATGTCTAGAGCCCGAATGCAAGCAGAGGAACACGGAATACTTGCCCAGAATCCATGACACTCAATAGAGGAGGAAATCCCTGCCGTAGGGAAGCAATTAGTCACACAGTAATGCAAGCCAGCTGGTTACATGGACACAAAAACAGCATGTCATGTAACACACAACAATTAGGAGGCCACAGTGCAGTATGAAATTAACTCTGTCCCCCATCAGACAAGCCTGTTCACGTTGTCTGTACTAGATTTGCAGCTGTGTCACTCGGTATTTGACATCCATGCAGCTGTATTCACATAAATCCACCGTGAGTCCTGGACTGCTGTGTATGAACTCTGTAACACTGAGGTCAAGATCAGCCTAAAATCCTCAGAGGGCTGGCAAGCATTAACTGAATTGAAGGCAGAAGACAGCAGTATGCCAGGAGTTAGTAAAAAGGACAATTACTAAGAAGAGAAGCTTAGAAGCAGCAGGTTGAAGCATCAAAAACATGCAGTTCTATGGTTACAAGTAATGTGTAAGTAATGGATTTATTATTACTATTTTATATTCTGGACAAGTATTTCAGTCTCAGTCAATATTTCTGTGTTAAATAACTGCCCTTTTAAGCATGTAAAAAAGATCTCCAGAAAGAAAGAAGCAAGCAGCATTGTTATAAATGCAAAACACTGCTTTAGTAGGAAGCACAAGACTCACCTCTGTTTCTGACTTAATTTGATTCCATAAAGACTGACAAGTAACAAACCGCAACTCAGTATCCTCTGAATCATCGTTTCTGATTCCGAAATCATGAGCTAGAAACACAGAAAGCAAAAGAAAGCACAAATAAGCTTATGAAAACAAAACATTTTTTTTCCTTGAGAATAAAACAACTGAAACAAACTTCTTAATATACATATATATTCAGGGGAGATGACTTTTCTCTTAACCAATTAATTAACTGCTGGTATCTGGTAGAATAAGTGAGGGAACAAGCAGAATATATTATCCAAGTAGGCAGGCAAAAAGTAAAGAACTGACTTCCAGTCCCATATGAGCTAAAAGCTAAATCAGAGCAAACAGCCTTTATTATTAAAATTAAACAAAATTAAAAAAAAAATCTTTTCCTTGCTTCAGAAAGTTTTGTGGGTCTCTTTCACCTATAAAATATTCAATCCTCCTTCACTATCAGCAGTGGTTTGATCTCTAGAAAAGAACCAGTTGATGAGCACAATCTCACAAAGCACTAAAATCACCCAAAACAGCAATATAAGTGACGAACAAGAAGCATCCCTAATCCTCCATTTTCATTGTCTCCCCTGAACTATCACCTCATTTGTATCCCTAAGAAAAATCACTTAAAATACATAACCCACTCTGATTACACATCTTAGGTTTTTAGCTGAAGAAAATCTAGCCACCACATTATTGGTAACATACTAAGGCATAATATACTTTTTTACACAACCAAAACTCAAACTATAGGTGCAACTATGCTCAGAAGGCCTTTTGTGGAGTGTAACAGTATTATCAACTATTGATAACAGAAGTTTCACAACTGAAACTTCGCAGGATTGGGTTTCCAGATGGGATGGATGCACATCAAAGTACTGTTTTAGAACAACACTAACCAAATGTTGTGAGAAACCAAACTAGCTCACCTCTGCCTCGTTTTTAGTTCAGTCAAATTTATTTTCCTGCCTCAAAGCATTTGCTAACTAGAACAACATGTTTAGTAGTTTATCCAAATATTACTAAGCTTGCAAAAACGAAAACGTAATATCCAGTAAGGGACAAAATTTCAACATGGTTTAAGTGCATAGGTCCTGGTTGTTGGTTTATTTATCTTGCAATGACCTGCAATGACAGATTGGATTCTACTTCCCTGTCTCCCATTCACTGAGGTACAGATGTCACAACTTCCACAGTAAAAATAATTTGGGTTTAATATTAAAGAAGATGTTACAGTAGGTAATGAATGAGAGCCTGTGGTGATTTCCACAAAAATCTGGCCCTATTAATTTCCCCTCCACCTTTTTCATACAAATTGTCACACCTTTTGACAGTTCTGGTGATGCTAAGAGTAGTTTAACCTGGGAATAAGAACTGTAAGTTTCCTAATCAAATCTCAATCAGCAACTCTTCAAGAAGCATTATTTGTGGCTCCAATAAGAGTCAGTCTTGTTCAGTCTTCCTCAAATGACAACACACCTAAATACACATCTAGAGAAAATGTATGCAGCAAATACAGAAGCCATGGGATCTTCACAAGTGGCTTTTCTTTCTTCTTTTACAAGAAACTTAGGCAAACTACACAGAACATAAGACTTATGGATGGGATATAAATTTCTGACTCCCATAGCTTAAAAGTGACTCATTCAGACTCTTCAGATGAATTGTTTATCAGTTAGTAAACAATTTATGGTAGCATTGTACGGAGTTTTCTCGTAACAAAATGTGCAAAGACAATGACAGCCATACAGTCTTGATTGCTGGAGATGAAAAAAAAACACATTTACAGTAGCCTATAATTTGGTTATGTTCCTCCAAAGAAATGAGTTTTCAGCAATCAAGAAGCAACAGAAAACCTCACGCAGCTATGATAGAACTCATTATACAAATTCAATTAGATGTGATGAACTTTCCAGGATTAACCCTTCTCAAGCACAGGAACATATATGAAAATGCACTAACCTGTACTCTGAGACAATTTTCTCTTCTTGGTACTTGGTTTAAAAACAAAGCAGCCCTAGAGAATAGCAAAAAAATTACAGACTTCAATATGAGCATCATTTTAACTGGCTCCTGAGGCCACTTTATTATCCTTTAATTTCAGTGCTCCACTAAACCAATAATTTGAACTGAATTGCCAGCCTCTTAAGAATATCAAGTTACATATTGTCCCTATATATTCCTGTTTCAAGCTGTAACACTAGCGGAAGCAGTATCCCAGCACACTTGTGAGGAACTTTTACATCTTTCCACAACATTCTGCAATTTAGCCATCAACTATAACAGCAGCATACTCTTTAAAAGTCTCAAAACCTCCCACAGGTTTGGAATTAAGAGGTAATTATTCCCTGAGGACACATCAGCACAGTTTCAGTTAAAAACAGAAGGCAAGAGGCTGAGATGAACAGGTGATCCGGAACAATGCAATGAGTATTACTAAGTTACAAAAACAAATGACACGCCCAAGCTAGAGGATAACTGCATCCCAACTCAAAGAAGTAGACAGTTAGAAGCAGAATGACAAATGGTTTCAAAAGGGTTCAGATAAAAACCCCTGTTCCAAGGAATTCCTCCAGATAGAAGGCATCTCCCAGTTAGACCTCTTTCATCACAAAGTATTAAGTTTTGAATTCCAGGAGATTTTTTTCATTTTCCTCTAGAAAATTGGAAATTTCTTCCCTCACCCTCTCTACAGAAGCTCATCTCTTTTGTAGAGTTATAATGATTTCCTATATATCAGAAATCTTAAAACTCTCACTGTAAGGTTCTTATGCTACAGCTAGGGGGAAGGAAACACATAAGTGTTGAAAATAAACAGATTCAATCCTATATTTCTCAATGGAGATGCTAATACAAGCAAGGATTACTGAACGCCACCTAGGATAATCCAGCCACTAGTGTAAGAATGACATAGTGAAAATCAAACACCAGAGTTATATTCAATTCGGATCACAGTCGCCACTCTGTTGCGTGACTTCAGACATTTCCTTTCTTATACAAGTAAGACATTACATTGACCTCCACTGAAAAACAGCCTTATAAACTGGAGATGCCTTCAGATACTTTCCATTTTACCATATATATTAAGAAGCATTTAAAACCAGCTGGACAAAAGTTATGGTTATTCTACAGGTGCTAAACACTCTGGAACGATTCCACTGCAAAAACTTAAGATACGGATTTATTTATGCTGCTGTATGCACAACAGGAGCACAAATGGAATTGGCCAGAATAACTGTAAATCACTTATATAAAAGAAGAATATATACTTAATCAAACTAAACACAAATACTATTGAATGCTTTACAAGCATTGGATTTCCCTACACCACTGAATGTAGCTGAGATCAGAACATAAAACTGCAAAGTACTACACAAAAGTCTTGGGAGGCAAAGAGGAGTGACACATTTCACTACCAAACTAAAAGGCAACAGCCATTTTCTGAAGAGAAATCCACCAGTTTTGGATTAAGTTATAAGTTTATTTGGAAGCGCTTCCCTTCGCTCCTGAAAGTAATAATCTGCACAGCAACTTCCACACCAAAGGATCCAGCTACACATCGCAACTGAGTGAAAAACAATGTAACAGCAGTCTTGCGATGATAAAACAGATGCTGTGAAACCACTGCTGTTGTTCACTATATGATCAAGCACGAGACTAAATGTCAAATGTTTCAATATAACATTTTAAGTCTCGCTATGCATTAACACTCTGATGAATGCACTGTCCCTACTGCCAGCCCTGACTACTGGCCAGATAAAAGCTTTCATTTCGGAAATACCAAGGCGATAACAGATATTTAACATCACCTGTGGGTGACAGCACTTTAATCTTTATTTCTGCATTGAATTAGTTTTGGGGACAGAAGCAACGAGCCTTCGAAAGCCGAAGCAAGAAGTGCCAACAGACTTCAGCTGACAAAACCTACAGGCGCTACAGCTCTGCTCTGCTCCGCTCCAGCGAAGCGTTCCTATTGTGCCACCGGGAGAGCGGAGCAGGTGGATGGATGACCATGTGTCAGTCACCAATCACGGTGTGATTCCTGGGGATGTTCTGGGCAGGACTAAGAGCTGGGCTCGATGATCCTTGTGGATCCCTTCCGCCTCAGAATATTCTGTGGTTCCGTGCGACTGCGGTGAGGACGCAAAGCGCCTTGGGCAAAAACAGGACCCGGAGGGAGCCGGCGCACGGAAAGCCACCAAAGCTTTGGGAAGGGACGGGCAGCGGAACGGGGCAACGGGGAACCTGGGCACAAGGGACGCGGGAAACAGCAGCGAATGGAGGAGGCGGGAAGAGGAGCAGGCGCAGGGCGCGGCGGGCGATACCGCAGGTCCGGCTCCTCCAGCACCCGCACAACCCCCGCTGCTCCCTGGGAGACCCCCGCCCCCTCTCCCACGCCTCACCTTGGATACGGAGCACGTGCTCATGTCGCCCCGCGCCGCGGCGTTATCGGACATGAGGAGGAGGAGGAGAAGGAAGAAGGACGCCTCAGGACTTTAGCGCACGCGCGCTCTCGGCGCGTCCCCTCCTCCTCCCCCCGTAACGCGAGGGTGGTACGGCCCGGGCCGCCCCTGGGCGGGCGGAAGGAGCGGCGCGGGGGGGGGCGGGGCGGCCGCGGAGGTTCCGCCGGGCGGCGCGGCCATGGCAGCGGGGTCTTGGCGCAGGAGCATCGCCGCCCAGGTACGCGCCGCTCCCTCCCGCGGCTGGCGCGGAGGGGCAGTGCGCCGCGACCGACACATCCCCTTCGCGCCCTCACTACGAGTCCCCCCACACTGCCCGAGCGTCTCGCGGTGGGCGCGACCCACAGCCGAGCTGGGATTGGGATAAACTGAGTGAGGTGTAGCGGCCATCCCTGGAAGTGTTCAAGGCCAAGTTGGATGGGGCCCTGAGCAACGTGGTCTAGTGGAAGGTGCCCCTGCACGTGACAGGGAGTTGGAACTTTAAGGTCTTAAAGGTCACTTCCAACCCAAACCATTCTGCCATTCCATGATTACTTCGGTCGGTAATGGCACGGGAGGGTTTGACGAGATCCTTTGTGGGGAAAAAAAAGCCCCAACCCTCTGTGGTGTTTTGCCTTTCTAAGGCTCCTTTAACATTTCTTGAGTCTGTATCGCATATTTTATTCTATTGTTCATAATATTTAATAAGTCCTTTTTCACCTGGGTTTAAATTTGCTTTCAAATACAAACAATGCATCCTCTATAGGTATTTAAACAGGAAGCAGTATTTTTCCTTGGGGTTTTTTTGTTTGGTTGTTTTTGTTTGTTTGTTTGAGGGTTTTTTGGTTTGTTTGTGTTTGTCGTGGTTTTTTTCTTCTTAAGCCAAGTCGTTCTTTATTTCCAATTTAGCTTTCAAAGGTTTTGGATCTGCCACCAGAAAATTTAATAAAGTCCATATCTGCCGTTCCCGTCTCCAAAAAACGGTAGTTGTTTACATTTTATCTTACAGTGCTATGTCATGTTTTATTATTTTATGTCATGTTTATTATTGCAAGAGCTTAACTCTAGGGAAAAAGAAATACAGAAAAAACCCAAACCTTATGTACCAATTTAATTGTAAGAAGATAGTTCAATCTAATCAAATCACTGTATTTTTTCAAGCAAGCTTAAAATAATTTTTTAAAAGCCTGTACGAATTACGGGCAGTGCTTGAATGGCAAATGCTTCAGCATTAATGATCTGAATGTGAAACTGCTTAGAACCAATGTGAAGTTATAATGGGATTTTTTTTCAGTGTCCTGCTCAAGAGTGGTAATGATGTTAGCAAGTAAATTACACTCATTCATAAGCATAGTTTTTGTTTATTCTGAAATAGTGTTCTTACCATATCTATTTTTTGATTGTATCAGAGCAAAGGTAATATTTGGTCTTCTATTGCAGCTTTCTAAACATAGTAAACTTTCAGATATATGTGTCTGGGTTAGGCTTGGCAACTAGAGCTGTCATATGCAGAAGTCAGCTTGGATCTTCCGGATCTCCCCAGCATTGCAACAGGGTTTTTTTCCTGATTTTCATATGTGCTTTTTTTCAGGCATGTTGCTGATTTCCAGCTCTCCATTGCTTCTGTAATAGAAAACAGTTCTAGTGATTGCTTAGCACAAGACTTGCATCTTCAAGCTCAGAAGCTGGCTGAAAGGGTATGCTAATGCATTCATCACATATTTATGCAATAAGAAACTTACAGACTAGAGCCGTAAGAGACATCATAAGGTAAAAAGTGTTCTTTCTCCAAGCATCTATCTGGGTCAGAATAGTTTGATGACTACTTGTAATTGTACAGAGAATCTTCACAGGGAATTGGAAAGCAGTTTGAGGTTCTCTTGAAATTGTTGTTTTCAAATAGTTTGAGAGAAATAATACTGGTGGAGTTAGGTGGGTATCTAAAGGGTATGCCATGGTCTGTACTGTTGCCAGCATTTGAGGAAGAAATTGAGTGTGTGATGGCTTGGAAAACCAAAGGTGCAAAATCCAGCACTAAAACAACAATGTGTAAATTTAGCCTTTGAGACAAACAGGCCAAACTTTCAAATCCCTAGCTGCTTGAAATTGAGTTTTCTTAGAACAGGAATTTTTTTTGGGGGTGCTGGTTTGGAAAATCGTAGTAATTGAGATATTAAGACTAACTGCAGCATAAAAAAAGAAGAAGCATGAAAAACAAGGTCTACAGAAGTGACACAAACGTTGAAGGATGGAAGGAAATAAAAATCTGGAGAAGCTGGCTTGCGTAAAGTTGAAAAAAGTGGCAATCAGAAGGGTGATGCTAAGGTTTTAGAGATCATTTGTACCAAAAAAAAAAAAAAATCACAATCTAAAGCTGTGTTGCTGATGCCAATGCAGAGGAGTATAAACTAGGAAATTGCCAGCAAGTGTGAGAAGGAATCAGTAGGATTGCTCTACAATCAGAAGTTAAAAAGGAGAAATAAACCCAGTTGTAATACTATTGAGAAGCTAAACTATTTTGCATCTCGTTTTTCACTGCTGAGATGTTGAAGATGTCCATAACTTGGACCTGTTTCTTTAACAAGATAAGTATCCTGACTCAGGTGAAAGAACTGATGGTGCACAGATGTACAACCAAAAGTTCTGAAGCAGCTTAGAGATTTTCTAGACCCATAAAATAATTGAGGTAGGAAAGGACCTCAGGAAGTTATCTGTTCCCATCTCCTCCCCAGTGCAGGTTGTTGAAGATATTTGGATGAGGTTGCTGAGGACTTTTAAAATTAAATCAGGTGTTGAAAGCCTCCAAAGATCTGACAACCTCCTTTGTAATCTGTTTCAATGACTACATTGTCGTGGGAACAAGTTTTTTATCCTGTGTCCAGTCTTTCATTTTAAAAACAGCTGCTATTCCCAGTGTTTAGGAAGCTGAAAATTGCCTCCCTCCTTTATTGTTTGTGGCTTATTAAATAAACCTGGGACATTTAGCCCTAAAGCTTTATATGGAGGAGCAATTGTAACAGTAAAGAACAGACCATCAGTGTAAGCTCCCAAATTGCATAGACCATGCCAGTTAGAAAAGAATCCATAATCTCTTAGGAATGTTTTTTGTTCAGTGATGAATAAAGGAGATGCATTTAGTATAATTTGTTTACATTGGTCATATCTTCTACAAAGAAGTGAGCAGTGTATAAACTAACAAAGTAAGACTGTGTATCTAAAACTACCAGAAAAATGCAGGCAGTTACCAGTTTTTGTCATGAGAGGAGAGGTTTTTAAAACTATGGAGGGGCCAAATCAGCTCTCATGTTAAAGAGATGAAAACTACTGACATGACAAATGACAAATGTAGAAAACATTTATCAGAACAAATGTTATGGAGAAAGTCCGGTGTATATTTCTGTTTTTTCTCTGCCCCGTAAGTAGAAAGGACCTTCTGTAAAACAGTAAAATGGGAAATTCAGCATCAAAACAGTAAATGTTTGGGGATTTTTTTATGTAGCTTGTGAATTAACACTGGTATTTGTTGTTATCAGAGCTTGCGAAGGTTAAAGAACTTCAAAGTTAGCTGTCATTTCTCCTGGTTAGGTCAGTGTCTAAGCTGGAGACCTAACATGGGGGTACAGTTTCCTCTTCATGCTGATGAGCTTCAGTAGAAATGTATAGCTTGCCTCTCAAAGATTTTAACCAAGTGATAAAGTTTGTGTCATTTCTTTATATGCTTTTCGTCCCTCTTTTTCTTTTTTTTTTTTTTTGACAATTTCTTGGCTATGAAAGCTAGTTTAATAAGAAGCTCTCAAACCTGCGAGGTTGAGATCCAAAACTCTCAGCCCATGAAGAGGCCCAAATTTGTGTTGACATTAGGTGTTGGTTGCCCAGATATGCCTTATGGGTTCAGAATTTTCAAAACATGGATAGTTGTAATTAAAATTTTTAATAAATTGCCCTTTAATGTCTTTATTTTATACAGAGTCACAGAATATTCCGAGTTGGAAGGGACTCACAAGAATTATCCAGTCCAGCTCTTAAGTGAACGGTTCATATGGGGATTGAACCCACGACCCTGTTGTTATTAGCACCGTGCTCTAACCAACTGAGCCAGTCTCAGGGTATATTTTGTGTCACTGGGCACTGCAGCCTGTTGTCACTAAACTTTTTTTGTTGTTTTTGTTAAGTGCTGTCAGGTACTGTGTAAGTTGTCAAATGTATCTCAGCTTTTGTCTGTACGAAGAGTTCAACTACTGCTCCCAGTCAAAAGAAAACACAGACTGTGCACAGGCAGGAGCTGAAATAGAACATATGTGTGACGTTTCAAGCCGAGTTGTATTCAGACCTATTAAGCATGGATGGGAAATAATAAAATCATTCCTTTTCCAGCAGGATTGATGAAATGATCCATTTCTGATTGCTTCAAACTAGCAAGTAACATTTAATGTTTACAGTGGACTAAACCAATATTTATAGTGGATCGAATTACAGTTTTCCAGTTTACCTGTTTTCACGTAGTGTTTCTGTTTTATTTTGTTCTTTTAGCTAAAATGTGATGCTGTAGTGAGTGAAATCAGCGCTGGTCCAGGAACAGTGAACTTTACAATAAACAGGGAATTATTAGCAAAGGTGAGTAGTATCTTTCAGGTGCTTTAAGGTAAAAATAAATTCTTCAGTATAAAACTATAGAATACCTACTGTTGTCTTGAAAAGGTATTTTTTTTGTAAAACTGTCTTTCATAAGTTCTCTTCGAGGATCTCTGTTGCCGATTTGTTATGTAGGCCTAGAGTTTGGAATGAGGGTCAAAAAGTTTATCCTTATGAGGAAACAGTGTATCTACTGTTCACTGATAACCGTAACTCCTTTTTTTTTCCTCTCTCTCTGCTTTAAAATGCAGGCTTGGTTACTTGGTTATATCTTTGAGTTTCTACAGTTTACAACTCAAAAGTTTTGATCTTGCATGTAAAGAGACTTGTTTTTACCTCAAATAAAAATATTTGATAGCAGATCTATCATTACACGCTTCACTAAAAAAAAAATAATTAAGAAAACGAAGGAAGATGTATTCCTCG